CGTGTGCTCTTCCGATCTCTACTTATGTCAGTTTGGTGGTTGGAAACGAGTAAAAACCAAGGAAGATGTATTGAAAGACAAATGTAATGATCCGGCTCTAGTATAATATCGGGTCAATGTCTCGTTGCTCTCATAAACATTATCTGATTGACTGAATCAACAATAACCAACTTATCAAGAATTCAGTAAACTCACATCCTGGGATCATTGGCCGAGATGATCCTTTTAACAGCCGCAAATTTTCGTGTTTTTCTCGTCTTACCCTGGCGCAAACACATTGACAATGAATTATAAACATCATAAACACAAAACAACAAAAGCAAAACAACAAAATCTGCAATAAAATCGTGAAATTTCACTCACCATTTATAAATTGAAACACCAACACAATGTGTGCGCTAGACGGTAATAAATTTATGAACGAGCGACTGCTGATCGATTTACTTCGCTGGCTCGAGATTTAACCAATTAGTGATTACGTCATAGATTTTAGGAAAAATAAAATATGGCGGCTACGAGGAGTGGCGTTTGTCCTTTTTCACTGTACTTTGCAGTATTGTCTGTTTTTCATAGTGTACACAGCCCAGCTCATAGAAATTGAATTGCAAATGATCGCCTTTTGTTTAAAAATTTTAATTAAAATATCCACAAATATATTCCCAAAAAAGCCAATATTAAACCACTATGATTTTATTACATTATATATAAATATGCAATAGCGAAATAGCCCAATCTTATTACGCAAGTTTTTATAATAAAATATTAGTAAATATTGCCTGCAATACCTAGATTATAAAATGTCGTGTTAATAATTGAATGTCCCGCTATCTATCACCATAATTTATAGAAATTTGTATAAAAATATCGGTACAAAAATTATATTAAACTACGCCAAAACCTGCGCTAAAGATACTCGCCGTATCTCTAAATTCAATTATTATTTTTATTCTTTTTGTTGATTATTTTATTCAAGGCAGGACATTGCTGAATGAGTTGAATCATTCACAGCATCGCTGCTGTCATCTCTGTCTCAGCATCGCTCAATGGCGTAGCAAACTCGATAATTGGGGGGGGGGGGAGAGCAATACTCATATATTCGTGTTCTGCATCATTAATTTCTTTTGAAATCAATTGTTTTTAAGGTCTGTGAAGTGTGAACACGAATATATGAATATTAGCCCCCTCCCCCCAATTATCGAGTTTGCTACGCCACTGGTATCGCTGTCATCTGGATGGACAATAATGAGGTTCAGATTTCACTACCACTACCATTAAGACACCAACCAATCAAGTGTGTTTGATCCAACCAATCAGATGCGTTTGATAGATTCAATTAACTAGGGTCGTACGCAGGATTTTTTCACCAGGGGGCAGTAAGGCCTATATGCCGAAAAAGTCCCAAATACCAAAGAATAATTAACAATTATTCGCCGAAGGAGAGGTGATTATCGGGGAATATTCGCCGAGACGAAGTCGAGGTGAATATTCCCCGATAATCACCAAGCCTGAGGCGAATAATTGTTTTAGTATTTTTACACAAGCTTTTGTGTTTTTTTGAGACTGAATTTATTTTAATTTTGCTTATTTCTTTGTCAGTAAACGTCCAAAAACGGGTAGCCGCCATTTTGAAAATTTCTGTTTTGTTATATTCACCTATAGGTGAATATAACAGTTTATTACGTCAATTTTGACCAATCAACGTGTAGGATTTGTTATGTTCACTTGTGTAAAAATACTAATTAATGACATTCTAAAAATCGTAAATATAGTTTTCTCTGGGGGAGGGCAGTTGCCCCACTGTTCCCCTCCCCGCTGTGTACGGCCCTGCGATCAACCAATCAGGTGTGTTTGATATATCAGATTAACCAATCAGAGGCGTACTAAGCCAGTGACAGATAGTGGTAGTGGAAGTCAAATCTAAACCTCTCTAATTTATTTCTCCACTCGCCCTCAGCATTTAATATTCTCTTGTTTCTTCCACCGCAGTGTGTAACAAACATTTGTGCTTATTCAGCATTGCTTCGAGGCCGAATTTCTCTTTCTTTAGTTCTTGTATTAAATCTTCAAGATCTTGATTCGCAGTTAGAAGTTCGTTCGAATTCTAAATGTAGAATAAATTGCGATTGAATACAGCAGTACGTATAGGTGATTCCACTAAGTTTTATCGTGTTACAGATGGTCAACCATGCAGTAGATATCAGAATGAGAAAATAGAAGAGATATAAACAACAACCACTTGCCTGTTCTAGTTTGCTTGCTTGTGCTTTTCTTTTCAATCGACATTTTGAGGCCGCCACTTTATTTCTTTCTCGCCTTAACTTTCGTTTTTCAAGTTGTTCCTCGTTCAGCTAAACAAAAATGAGACTTTTCAACGGTGCTAGATATGGATGAGTTTCACTAAGCACTATTGTTGTATAGCGGGTGGTGATCAAGCTGCAATTATCAGAGCAAGAGTGAATAGGAATCACTATTTTCTTTACTGCATGTACTAGTTTGGCATAGATGGTGGTCGACCTCATCAATTAGTAAGAAAATCTTAATTCCTTTTATGTGTTGGGTATATAATATGGGCAAATAAATAGAAAGAAGTAATGTAGTTTAATTCAGTTTCTCTTATCAACATTTCTACCATCCATGACTAAAGTCAAGGTCAAACGAGGACGAGAGTTGATGAGAGTTGACAACTTGTAACAGGGGTCATTTCAAGCTCTAGATTAACAAAATAAAGTTTTGATATAAAGTGTTCCAACTACGTTTTACTAATCTAATTCAAATACACGATAATGTTAGGAAAGCGTTTTTCCATCAAGAACAGCTAACCAATTCTAATATACTCTCATGTCTCTCATGCTCGTTTCATCCTGTAGTCAGATGCATACATGCAGAACTTGAAGAGGAAAATAACATTACTTCTTCCTTTGATGGCATTGGTTTCGTCTCAATCTCCGGGATATCCAAGCCATTGGCAAACCTTCTGGATTCGATGGCAAATCTCAAACCAAGTTTGACAGGTATTTCAGTATTGTCTAACTCTACATCGGGCGTTGGTACTGTAGTGAGTGGTCCAAGGTAGGGTAACTGCATGCCACGGTTGTGTAGTGTGCCTGTGGGCTTGTTGAAAAGTAAAGGAACACTTTATATTAACACAGAAAGTCTGACGTCTGTAATATTGTACTATCCATTTGACTGGACAAGCTAGGGAACATATTGCTATGGTCATTTCCATCAGAACTATGATCTGTGATCTTTCCAGGTAGTTCAAGCACAAAAAACAACTTAATGAAGAACACTTCCTACATAGAATTCATGTTGTTGCAGAAATCTTCCCTGATAGTTCCAGAACAGTTTCTCATTTTGCAGTTTAGGAAACATGGGGTTGAAAGAATATTTACGTCGTAGCAATATTTCTAGTTTGCCTATACATTCGGGAAACATGGCTAGGAAAAATGTTTTCGATTGCTTGCCCACCTTCAGGAACTTTATGGAAGTAATGTTTTTGTTCTTTACAGGGTGAGAACAGGTGATTCTTCATCAAAAGATGAAATCAAGTTTTATACAATAGTTGTAATGTTATTACTTCATATTTATGAAATATCATTAGGTTCCCTTCCTTACACTTTGCATTGCTCCTGACATAAAATCTCAATAATATGTAAATTTTATAATTGCAACTAATTAACTTCGTGAAACAGCATGAAATACCTCAGAACAGGTAACTGATGAATGTCGATGTGCAGTTCTAATCATGCGAATTATTATCATTTTCATAATGGAACATTCGCACGACAACATGTTTTTACCACAGACACAAATGGCATTTTCACGCCCGACTGTTTCACTTTGTTTATCATAATATCTGCCATTTGTTGATAAATAGTTACGAATATAATACATAATTATCTTAAATTAAACACACAAACCTGAGTGAAAATATGAAATGGGTCCATAATTATTTACACTAAACACAGTAAATCCTCAACAAAATGGTAAAACCTTTCGACCAAAAACTCCTTCATTTATAGATCTTCATTCTTCAAATAATCACTGCTGAATAATGATTTGTGATGGAGTTAAAAGTTCAAGGTTACAAATGATCCCAAAACTGATATAAATATTTAATAACAAAAGGTCAACCTTACCGGTGGCAGAACATGGATTCATCCAATCAGAGATGAATAAAAGCTAAAATTGTGTCAATATACAAATTTAACAAAAGGACTTTCATGCTTCGCTGAACATGGACAATAAAAAGAGGCACAGTTTCTTTCATTCCATGTTGAGCATTATTCAATGTGTTCTCTTTCTTTGTTTCGAAAAAGAGAAAAATAAATTGGTTATATATAATCATAATGAAAGTGATCTTTTGCTTCAGTAAAATGGAATAGGATGTGTTGACTGGTACTTGTGCCTATCAATTTGATGTCAAAGGACAAAAATTTATGACGTAGAAATTTCGAACATTTTATTACATTTACGGCTTACTTTAAACCAGTGCCTCTTTAAGAATTTGTCAGTAGAAGAGCCATCAAGAAAAAGAAGATCTCACCTATGGAAATATTTTAAACAAAAGGGATATCTTCACTGAGTGGGGCAACATAGGTCACTAGAGGGGCCAACATTGAAGCTCGGGGGGGGGACTCCGCCTCCACACACTGGTTTATATGTTAAAAGAGGACCTATTTAAATGACATAGAAGACATGTGCGTCATAGACATTTCACTATTTTATTTAATGTCGAAACTGCGTTTGTACTTCTAAATATCAAGATGCTCTAATTCACCTCAAGTTTTCATAAACAGAAACGTTGGTTTACGTACAACACACAATTTCATTCTTTTCTTTCTAAACGCAGTTTATAAATATTCTATCACAACATACAATTGGACCAGCCACTTTTTCAATGTTTTAGACAAATACATGTACCACGTATCGTGTACTGATCGTGTAGTTTACCGCCAAGAATGCCCACTAGGCATTTCAAATGTTGCGTGCGCAGTTAATCTCCGATGTGCAAACTGCGGGTCACTCTTCGCGTCATTGTAAGACGATATTGTTCCCAGTCTCTGTATAAAGCAAGCGCGTGCACGGATGTGTATCGAGCATTTTCTCCAGCTCTCTGATCTCACTATGAAGTTTTTCAATTTCTGTTTCCAGGTTTTTGTTGCACTCTTCCAATTCTTCATAAGACTAGAAAAACAATACAAGAAGGAAATGGAGATCTTTAAATGTTTCTGCAACAAAAAACGACAATGTTTCCTAGTTTAACTAGAAGTAATTCAAGATATTTTTACCTCGACAAGATTTCGTACATGATCTTTTCGTTTCTTTCTGCATTTTGACGCTGCTAGTTTATTTCTTTCTCGTCTCACGCGGCGTTTTTCTACGTCCTCGTACTCAACCTGGGATAGAAATATCGAATATTTATTGTTCCAAGATGGCGTGATTCACCTTGGCAGTGTTTCAGAAAAAAGGAAACAAAGGCTTCAACAAAAATTATTAAAAGATGAATTCGAAAATTCTATTTCAAAATATAGAAATATTCAAAGGAAATTGGGTGAAAAAAGTAAACAAATGATGAATTCCACTGCGAAAAGAGGAAAAGAGCCTTTGTATCTGCTGCGCGATAGTGCTTTATAGTACCTAACCTTGAACAAATTAGCATATTTACCGGTTTTGTCTTATTATTTCCATTTCCAAAATCATACATATATTCCTGATTCATGGTGGGTTCAATGCTTTGCCTGATCTCCAATCTTACTGGACTGTCATCTTCATTGAGGACTTCGTGACCTATGACGCCATGACTGCTGACGCGTTCATGTTCGACATCGTGATAAATGAATGTTGGTATCGTTGATGTTGGGGGCTAAAGTTGGAGAGAGATTTAGTTACATATTTTTATATTTAGCTACATTATATCAACAACGGAACCAACGTGACCAGGGGATTTTGAAAGCGCATCTTTTAAGATCAGGCATCGGTTGTTCGAATGGAAGTTGTAGATTATTGGTTTTATATATAATTTTATATGTTTATCTCGATATGATTTTATATGTTTATCTCTATAATTCTAGTTCCAGTTTTTTATGTGCTTTATCCGTCTCATTTATCCGTCCGAATGCGAATTTTAAGAGGAGTACTTCGTCTAGACGAGATTCCCATCTAACTTTCCAGTCCGGATGGGGAAGTTAAATGGAAAAATAGAGAGAGAAAATTCGTCTGTTGCTGGATTTATATCACACGAGTTTTCAGTCTAAGACGAATTTCCCGTCTCTAATGTAAATTCGGTTATTTTATAACAGCTGCGTCATGTAATGAATGTAAAAATAGACACTGAACTTCAACACTGCCAGTAGCCTATATTTGAACCCAGAATTAAAAATAATCCATCTTTGGACATTCCCAAATTTATATTCAGAGTTTCCTGACGAGTTTGTCTGTTTCCCATCTTTAATAAGAATTCGGCTAATTAAGCTGGTGAAAAATCTTATAGTCATGGTTGAAGTGCAGAAGACGCGGGGTTTACTATCCATAATAATCCATTCAAGTTTCGTAGGACAAAGTACAGTTTGAAACAAAGGACATGACAGCGTAAACTCTTCCAAAGACTTTTATTAAAGCAAAATGAGTTCAAGTACAGTTTAGTCTCTTTTTCATGACAACCAAGTTTGGTTGAGTGACGAACTTCTTCCACGAATTACTTCTACGAAAATTCTTTCGTTTTTGTTGCTAATTTTAACACAAAGACGAAGGATTTGCGTTAATGAAAATCCTCGGTGCGAAGTTATATTCCTGAAGAAGTTGAATTGCTAACGAGCATCCCCAGGTCGTTAACGGACACGCTGCGGTCGTTGCCTCCCACCAAATAACTTACTTAACTTCTTTGTTTATAAAACAAAACTTTAATCTGGGTTAAACCAATAAACGGCTGATTTGAGAAAGCTTGAAAAAGTCACTATCCGGTGGATAGCGCTATTGTGCCTTTCGTCCAACCGAATGCAGATAAATAACCAGTATTCTATAGATCTTCAAAGAGTCGAAGATTTTTAAAATGCAAACAAAGGTCAAAGTTAAGTTAAGTCGTAAAGAAGAAATTGCACGATAGAAATATTATTCTACAATGGCGGTAGCTATAACTCACCTCAAAAGCTGCTTCTAATCCAGGCATATTCACATCAATTTCATTAAAAATCATATTAATTTACAACCAATCTGGATCGGAAGAAGACAGCTGGCCACAAAGCGACAAAAGTGCATTCAAAACACGCTAGACTCTCTTCAAAAATCATAAAGAATCGCTTCAAATCCGGTGGGAAAATAGACCATATCGCAAGCAGAAAACGCACGTACTTTACTGTTTTATTAATACATGTTTCACAGATTGTTGAGAAGGCAATGTCGATATTAATTTATATAAAATGTTCGGACGAAGTTTACTGATATTGGACCTTCAAATGTTGTGAAATAGTGATAAACATCGAAGCAGGTACCTGGTTGATTCGCCGTGTTAAATCTGTGTTGTACACAATCCAACCTGCTGGTTCAATTAAGTCCTGAATCGCGATCATGCCGTCAAAAATGGCCTGATGGCGACAATCCTCTGGAGATGAAACGAAGATTTAAGTCAAGAATTCAAATTGTGCACGGCTTTTCATTGAAATGGATCAGGCCTTAAACCTGACCATGAAAGAGGTCTTGCAGAAACATTTGAATGTTCACGTTTCCTCCTGTGTGCCCAACATTGAAAATATTGTTGGGGAGACAAAATATTTGCCTCCAGCAGGAAACAAAAATGTTTCACATTTTTTCTTCCAAAGTGTGATTTTTGTTGGGGATGCAATGTTTCTTGCTTTTTTTTTACCTTCAGTGGGAAGACCCTGGCTAGGATGCGAGTCAACACAGTGTGATTTAATCTACCCAGGGCCAGAGCTATAGATCAATGTTGTCATAATATACGTATAAACTCTTTCTCTCGAGATAATTTTATTCTGGCTATAAAAAACTATTGTTTACAAGTTCATCCAAATATACTTATATACACTATATCCTCCCGGCATTATTCCCGCTATATATACATAATTATATTAACAGTCAATCCCTGTAACCTTTTTCACCCATTTTTTAAACTGCGACACTCGCGTATATACTCCATATTTATATGCTATTGCGCATGCGTCGTGTCCAAACGATGAAATACCATGCAAGTACCATTTGCCATCTTTCTCACATAACAATGGACCTAGAGCGGGAAAGAGTCATTGATTTATACACTGTGCTATTAGTAAGAGTTTTGGTAGTAATATCCGTTGATTACACACGAAAATATAGCTTGTAGCAAGTAAATAAGTTCATGAACCGCATGGAGGAACTTGTATATCTGATACAAAATCCAGTTGATTTCATACATGCATAAACTTCAATAAAGAATAAGAATGAGAATAAAGAATATTACATGATGTATATACCTCCGCTATCTCCCTCGCATGTGTCCTTGCCCCCCTGTTCAAACCCAGCACACACCATATTATCAGTAATAACACCACCATACGACTTGATTTGGTTACATTTTTCTTTGGACACTAACGGTACGCTAACATGAAGTAACTTAGGCTCTGTGGCTGTGTGAAGTTTCGTGTTGCCCCATCCTGCTATATAACAACTTTTGCCTGAAACAGAGTAAGAATTAGTTTTGTTTGCCACATACTGGACACACTGTAGTCTGCATATATTTGAAGATTATTCACACATTCCTGGAAATCCGCATATGAATGTTCGAGGGTGGAAAAGGAATGCTTTGCGTTAAATATTATTTAGTATTCCTACCTCTAAAAAACTGTGACGGGGGAGGTATTCATTCCGAATTTTTGTTCCCAGAGTATGGGCATGCTCTCGCAGGTTAGGTGCTGGGCATGCACCTATAATCTGCGAACGGATATATTCTGGGAACGGAGATTGATTTTTGTTAATTTTTGTTTCGAATATTCATATTCACACCATCAATATTCACACTACTTCAAAATCCATTATTCAACAATCATTTTCCACCCCCCAAGAATGTGACTATTAATTCAATGCAATAATATACCAGTCAATGGTGTCATTTATTTATTCACCATACATATTTAACTGTAGATAATCCTAATGGAATCGTGAATCAACTTCTTATGCATCTTAACGATGACATCATTGAGCAGCCTGCAGTCCTTAGACTACGACATAGACTGTGTGTGTAATCCTCACCTTCACTGAAGTCAGGTAAACCTGGATCAACACAGACAGGAGAAGTTCTTGCATCAATCCTTGCTGGTCTACTAAGTTCCATCAACGCAATGTCATGTTCAGCATAAAGCGCGATCTTTCCTGTACTCAGGTTCTTAGCTCCAATACCAAATGCAGGATGAGTTTTCACTGTCTTTACAGGAATGTCTTGTTCGTATTCATCTTTCACATTTAAATCGTGTTCACCCAGCCTTACCTACATGAGATATACAACAGAGCTCAAACCTGTCCTTACAGCAGAATCCCGGGCCACCTCTGGGCCCCTAGGGATGCCGGAAGTTCCTGAGAGCAAAGGGGTGCGATTTGTTATCGAAGGGCATATTTTTAAAGAAGGGCACAACGTTTTTGTAAAGTTTGTAAGTATGTAAGTCTGCATAACTTACAGAAAATATCTGAGGCAAAGCTAGAGTACAATGAGCAGCAGTCGCTATCCATTTATCAGACAGCAAGGTTGCCCCACATTTGAAGTAAGGTGGCTGGTTTGCATTTCCTTGACTATGAAACAACGCAGTCATCCACGGCCATTCTCCAGCTACCGTTTCTTCCCCACCTACTATTCTCTTGGTGGAGTAGACAGTTTCCGGCTTTACCCCACACGCTACTGCAGGTTTTGCGTTCAATACAGCTAAACAGAAAGAATAAAACAAAATGAAAATGAAGTGATGTGAATAATTGGGTGATGTGCAACCACTCCCATGGGATTCAAAGGACAAAGAGATTTTCGCCATGTTGGATCTGATATTTGCATTGCAAACAAGCAAAATCCTTTGTCAATGTCATCCAACATGGCGACGGTGACGTAACTTGCACACCACCTATACGATAAGATCTGAAACTTTGCAATAGCAAGCCCAATTGACTGATAAAAAAATCGCTAACGTTAAATTCAAATACAGGGAAGAAGCCATAATACCAATCGTAATATCGTATAGAACTTTGATGTTGTCAATGAAAGTCTGAAAAAGACTGCGAAGGATAAACTGAGAGTTTACGTCCCACAAATTTGTATATTCGAGCTAATTTACCGTCTCACACTGGGCAAGTAATAGATGTTTGGCAAAATAATCAAATTAAAACAAAACAATTAAGAATGCTTTGGGATTTTCAAAACAATGAAAAGCATTCTAATCACTGGATCGCGGTAATCTCGATGGTATCAATGTTAGGCTAAGTGATGAGAAAAGGACTTTTTGAAATTAGTTTAGAGCTAACGTTGAATTTACGTTAAAATGAGTCTAGAACTAACGGAATAAAAATGTGAACTGATACCTCGTCTATTAAAAAACACACCTACCTGCAGAGTTTACGTTCATACATAACAATAAAAATAAGACTAAATAATATATCTTTCTCAACATTTCCATAATGTTATATACAAATAAATATTCACTTCTTCTCTCAATAAATATTCTCTTTATTATTTTCTGACCATCACTATTTTAAGACATGATTAGTTCATCCCACACAGGTGGCTAAATCAGAGTGTTTGCCTGACAAAAAGCAATTAAGCAAGCAAGACACATACTGTGTTCGTGAACTTCACTGCCATTGCTTTGGAATTTTTATTTTGTGAGATACGATAATATTTTCCATCATATATGCTAAGGCGAGTATTACAGCATTCCCACTATCGCATACAACATTTGCATATCGCGCGCTACGCAAGAAGCAATCACGCAAACTTAATTAAATCATGTATTGTAAAATTAAAGCACGAAAAAACACTATTTTTTTAACAATCCATGATTAAATTGGGGCCATTTATACGAGCGGGAAATAAGCCGCGGCTAAAATAAGTCGCGATCGTCTCGTACAAGCCGAGGGTTGAAAGCTAAGCCTAAATAAGCTATACTGTATTTTCGCTCGTATATATATCACTATTGAAAGCAAACACCAATTAACCGTACAAATATTTTTATTTATCATTAAAATATAAATAAATCTACACTATATAAATCATCTATAGTATATATAATCTCTTAAAGAATTTACAATTTTATACATATAACTTTACATGTTTTTCTCGTTGTTTTATTTTACAGGCAGTTTGACAACCTCGTTTGAAAGGCCCTGGGAACGAGTTGGCAGTTTGAATTATTCCTCATGACCTTTCATGATAAAATGAAACCATTATTTCTAGCAAACATTCATGCTTTATAATGCTAAATACAATACATGAAGTACATGACTAGCAATCAGTGAGCATTGTATTGAAACAACCTACTCTTTTCAAAAATCCCAATTATATTTGTCCCAAATGACAATTATTTAGGGGCGGGTTGGTCAAAGCTGGATTAACGCTAACCCTGGGTTAAAATTTAACCCATGCAGAGTTAACGTTAATCTTGTCTGTTTACTTCAAAACTTCAGAGAATAGAACTCCTACTGATCCAGACAAGATTTCTGAAGAAATATTTCAAAATTTATAAACAAGTTGTTGGTAAGTTTGCTTTTAATTTAAGGTGAACCTAGGGTTAAGTCAATCGGCTTTGGAACAACCTGGCACCACTTTTCACTTGACGAGTAAACTCGTCTGGCGTTAGATAGAATAATGTACCTATGTGGGGCGCATCAAGGCGCATTTCCACTTGAAGGGTTAAATAATAAGGTAGTTCAATACAGGTAGTTCAATACAACGCAAATTCACCCTTCCGGAAAATGTTCAGTCTTGGCTATAGAGCTTCGTTTTCGTGATTGAGATATTACGACTGAGATATTATTGAAATATTACGTGATTGAGATAAAAGCACACATGACATTGTGCTGTATAGGTATTTTTCACCTCTATCTGGTCTTTGTTTACAAAAAGAAACCATTGTTTTTACTCGTGTTGCTTTACTGAATTTAGCGTGTGATTTTGTCACGTGCGCTATGCCTATGAGTATTGGGTTAAGAGTCCTTTACCTACAGTAAATTACCTTGTTACTAATGACATATTTACGAAACCATACACCGTATGTTATAGCAGTGAATTTCAGTGAACATGAAAAATCTGTTTAGGATTATGTCATCAGCAACAGGAAATAAGGTCTGAAAAAGCAACTCTCAATTGCGGAAAAAAAGGCTCTACATGTGTATACTACTACAGCCATGACTAAAATAAATGCTTTCCGGAAGGGTGTAGTTTATTGACAAGCGTCACGTCTTTCACCAACGTACCAAGTACATTACTAAGTACAGATTTCTTTAGCTCACATTATTAAGACACTGAGTTCTAACAGCACTGTACTAGAGAACCAGAAGTTTGTTGGTGGCGGGAACCTTTTGAACCATAAATGAAGTGATAAACACGTTATTATGGCCATGGGCCAAGTACAGTTGGCAGCTGTTGTGCCATGAGAGCATGCCTTTTTTTAGATTTATGCCAACATTTCTCATGAAGACTTTAAGTCCTGACAAACATGACATTAATCATCTCCGTTATTTTCTTTATTTTCTTCACAAGGTTCATCAGAGTTTCGTTGTTTTTTGCAAGAATGTATCTCCAACATGTCCTCAAGTTGTTGTTTTTGTTGTTTCAAGTCTTCAATTTCTCTCTCAAGATCATCATTGCTGTTGGAAATCTGTTCTGTGATCTGAAACAAAACTATCGGTTATTTTTTGTCTCCTTTGTGATTTAGATAAGTAAAATCCGGCATGTAACTTCCTGTTGAAAGGCCTTCACTTGAAATGTTGAAGTTCTCCTTGTATTTTTCAGGTAGTTGTATCCCTATCTATCCAAAACTTTCTTAAAGTTGTAAGAGCATTTAGATAATAAATAAGCATATTATATATACTGTACATAAAGTTATGTGTATCAATGACAATGTTATTAATAAGTAATGCTGATATATTAGTGTGACAGATATAACAACAAAATTGGATTTGTGATCCAATCATATGTATTAAATTAATAGATCTAACATTAAGTCTTCCTGATAACCATTTTTAGTAATTGTAGACTTGAATGGTTTACCAGTCAGTGAAATAAACTGATTGTAACTATAAACAGCCCACTGCCCACATAGATGGTGTTGGTGGGTAGCACGCACAACAATAGATAGAGATTTTTCTAGAACATATTGTAAATAATTCTACAATATTACAATCATTCAATAAAACACTTGAAATAATTTGTAATTAAGTGGGCGTTCTTTTGGCATGGCGAGGGTTGCTAAGGAACCTTAATTCTAAAGGAAATGAAATGAAATTTGGGTGTCACTGTCATTGTAGTAATGAATGGATTGAGCGCCTCCCCTTGACAAATAATATTGTCTGCATTACACAGAATAAAATAACTTGGTATTGACAAATAATATTGTCTGCATTACACAGATTAAAATAACTTGGTATTGACAAATAATATTGTCTGCATTACACAGATTAAAATAACTTGGTATTGACAAATAATATTGTCTGCATTACACAGATTAAAATGGAATACAGTAAAATAATAAAGTGTGGTACATTGGGAGAGTGAATGCAACTAATGGGTTAATACACATCATCTAAACAATATATACTGTCTCAAAAGATGTCTAACAGAGACTAAACTTTGATACAACACTCTAATTTACCTGTTCCAACTCAACAATGTGTTGTTTTCGTCTCTGTCTGCAACGAAAGGCAGCCATTTTATTTCTTTCTCTTCTTAGTCTTCTTTTCTCCTCTTCTTCTGGTGTCAGCTGACAACAAATGTTTAATATGAGCGTCATTTAAATCAACTTCTTCATTACAATATATTACTGTTATAAAATTTAATACTTTTTGGCGGGAGTGGCAGGATGGTTCATAGAATGGTGCCAGGAAGTGGATACTTAAAGAGATAACTTTGAAAGACTAAGGACTCACTTTAAAGGACCTTTTGTCCAAATATAGGAACAAATCTCAATTTTTTGCCAGATAGTCAATGAACTGACCAAGTTACCAAAGTACAAGTTACAGCTAGTACACTACTGTGTATAAAGAGTATTTGCTAGACAAATGTAATACCTCGTCAGTCTTTGGTCTCTTTGCATCAAGTTCAGGAAGTTCATCAAGACCTTTAGCTAATCGTTTGTGTCTAATTGCATCTCTAAGCTCTTTCTTGACAAGGTCATCTTTTGGCTGGATAATAAACGAGCCTGCATCTGACACTGGACTGCTGGGAGCAGAGCTTCCACCTTCACTCGACGACTGCAAATGAAAGTTTCAAGTAAATATTCAATGTCATCATTTGCATCTTTGGATTACATGTATTAAACACATAAAGATTATCTATTCTAATCAAAAATGGTGAAACACAGAGTTTATACTGGTTAACCCATGAAGTTGCATTGCGCCCTAATGCGCCCCTACTTTATTATTTTACTCCCTGACTGGAAAGTTTGGAAATTGCGCGCGCCAGAGATTTAGAAAATTTAATAGTAAATATATAGAAAGCATCAAAATTGCGCAGCCGAGATATCTGCCGAGCTATACAAACTTTCCACACTGGTTTTACTCTGCCTAATGCCATAATATGTGTTGTGAAATAGAAAATAATACAATACTGTAAATAATTAAACTTTGTTCATGTCTTTATCAAGAATGAATTTTCACTTTGAATCTATATAATTTATTATAATATAATCTTCCTGTGGATAATTACTGTAGACGAAAAATAATTTCACTAAGAATTTTACGAGATCTATCCTTTGTAGTACATTGCAGACATACGATAATACTGGGCTTTTTTCTAAATATAAATACTGAATAAAAATACTCAATGATTATAAATTTCTACTTCGAATTATAATCTATATAAATACGTCGATCTATCTGCTTCTATTTCTATGCTGACAATGTGAACAAGTTATTGATTTGATTTTACATCACGTGTAGACAACGTAGTCATGTTGGTTGGTACATAGTTACAAAATACACATAATGTATTAGCCAGAAATTCAAAATTTCAACTTACTGACGAGATTTCGACATCAACAGGCGGTTTAACCATGCTATAACTCCTCCACGTCGCCATATAAATTGTCTCAATTATCTCTCTATTTTGCAACTTTTGTCGTTTGCTGATATTTTGAAGAATGCTCGATTACACAGCAATACAAAGTGATTTATAGGTGACCTTTGGTGGGCGTCAGATTGTCATAATATTTAAATTTCACTGCGAAACAAAGAAAGGGATAGCATCTTGTGCCTTTCATCATATTTGGTGACATTAAATATCATTGTCAGCATTCCAGTTATTTTTAGTTATGATGCTCGATGACTTGGCGAACATTCACGAACATGCCCCGAATGCTTTCATCGTCGTATCCCCGGAAACGAGTAAACGACGGACTCCTACGCTGATCCTACGCAATACAATTTACGCAATACGCATATAAAACACAATGAAAGAAATTGGAAATAATCGATATGCGCGATTTTTGTGTACAAAATTAAATCTATTTCCATAAAAAAATGGAAACTAATTATGCGTGGGGATTTTTCCACGTGGTGCACAATTACAAAAGAGAAATCATGCATCAGCAACGCGTTATTGCGGAGATTACATCATTATTAATTAATTATATTTAGATCTTCATTTCATATAAATACAATCTTTTTGCCCAAAGTCATTTCATTTGTGGTGATTCCTTGTAGCAAGTTGAACAAAGCGCTTGAAACGTTGTAGTTTTCTTTTTCTCTTTATGACCAAACGAAAAGTTTCTATTTTCTACTTATTTCATTTTTGCCCACGGACCTCACGCCTTTTCGTGGTGAAAGACAAAGTGAAATAAAACCCCGTAAAATGAAATAAAGCCGGCGATGCTTGTCCCTGTTCTTTCAAGTAGTTCAAAATTTTCCACAGGGAAATGACAGTAAGTAACTGGCTTACTGGGAAGAAACAAAATTCCAATTTCCGAAGGGTAGAGTCATCTTATCGAATAAAACAAGACGAACTTTTCTTGAAATTGTGAATTTTCGACTTTTTTTCCAAGTTATCATGCAGACAAAAAGTCACAGAATAGTCACAGAAATGATAATGACTTTGAAATAAAGGCGACATTTTACAGCTTCAAAAGATTCTCTGCTTATTGGCTTGCCTGTCTAAAATTGTCGGTTGGTCGTCGATTTGGGCAGTCGGTTATCGGTTAACCCATTTAGACCACAACTGAAGCGTTTGAGCGCGCAATATTGACAAATTGATGCTTGACATTGCTTGTGATGTTACCGACTCTGAGTGCATATCCACACCGGGTAAGCTTGAAAAATATGCATGTCCACGGTGGGAATCGAACCTACGACCTTTGGAATACTAGCCCAATGCTCTGCCAACTGAGCTACGCGGTCAGGTCGGTTCACATACTTGTAGGTTCGATTCCCACCGTGGACAGGCATATTTTTCCAACCTCGTCCCCAGGGCCTTTTAAAGAAAGATGCGAAGGGCAGCAAAGGATATTTTTCAAGCTTACCTCTGTGTGGATATACACTCAGAGTAACATCACAAGCATCATATTCACCAGCTGAGTGATTACACCAACACAGAAAAAATCATTGACAAAAAGGGTATTTTCAGATCCATTGGCTATTTTGAAAGGTGTCTTAATGCGCTTTCAATTTGACTTGTTTCGTACTCCGCTGGCTTCAACCCGGAATAATTTAAACTGGTTCGAAACAATCACAATATTGGGGACTGCGGCTCAGTGCTGGTTTCGCGCTGTCTGCAAAATTCTCACATTGAAAAGTGAAAATTGCTGATTGAATACTTTCCAAAAGATATTTGGATAATAGAGATTTACTGTAAGCTTACGGATCGAGAGAAGATCTTCCAAAATAAACACATTGAAAACGCGGAATTTACCCAGACTTATTTTTACAGTGTAAAGCGCTGACTAAAAATTGATCCCCTGTGTAAAAAAATGCAAACGTTGCATTTTTATATCTCAGTACAATATGAGCCAGCAAAATATACAACCGGAAATACCAGTCTCTTCAACTAAAAAACCATCACTCAGTCAGATCATAAATTTAATCATAGAAAATAAAAATTATGAAATAAGCCATAAAATCTTTTGAAAAACAAAAAAGCCCAAATTCTACGAGAAGGGAATAGAAAATGAATTAGAAAAGAATTAAAAAGAACTGCAAAATAAAATGCTAAACCCAAAGTAGGATTTTGAAGTATGTGATTTAGTAAATATTGCGTGCTCGCGAGATCTACATTTCTTATTCAGTATTCAGTCTATGACACCGGCTTGTTTTAATTTTAATTTTTTTGTTTGAACACATTTGATGGTTTTTCCTGGCAATCCCAAGAGACTTGAAGATATTTTCCCACTCATTTCTTTGTGAGAATCACCGTGTATTATTTAAATGAACATCGAGAGCAGTTAAATATGAATTGAAATTGTTGGTTTCTCAAGAAATTTGCCTACATCCGTTTGTATAAAGTACAGCTCTTCAGACTCAATGACAATGGAATGAACGCTTCTGGTTTAAGATAAAAGAGGATCGATGTTTTTAAAGCTTTGAGGAGTATTTTGGTGTGGGAATCAATGGAAAATGTTGAATGAGAAATAAAGAAAACAGTGTATACTTTTATACAGCAAAAGTTGCTTCGTTTTCCTTGGTTTAATTTCGTTTTAAATTGAGTATTTGTGGGGAATTGTGAATTCACACAATGGTCGATGTAGATCCAGATACTCTGTTAGAATGGCTGAGTATGGGCCATGGGGAAGAACGAGATATGCAATTGATTGCTTTAGAACAGTTGTGTATGCTGTTGTTGATGTCTGATAATGTGGATAGATGTTTTGAGAGGTAGAAATACTGTAATATTGAAATTTCTTTGCTATATTCACACTACATGTATTAAACTAAATTTTTATATTCCAGTGCTACTGCTCTATTGCATTTTCCCTTGCATGAAAAGACCCAAGATATTAGCCTTCTTCATCCCCAGATTGCAGAGTTTTCAATATTAGATTTTTGGGGAATAGAATCCCAGAATATTTTGAATTATTTTCAGACCTGCCTTAAAAGCTGGCATTTTGCATAATGCTAACAGGCACAAAAAATAATTTATTAACAGGAATATTAGTGGGCTTGGCAGAAAACTTTGACCCCAGAAACAAAAGTATTCCCTGCTATGTTCTGCGGTGCAAAAGCTACAAATCTAGGGGTGAGGGCACCTAGTAAGTTCCAGGGGTATGTCAAGAGGTAGTTAAGGACACAGAATGATAAAGGGCTAGAAGGAATATTTGCATTTGATGTAACATACAGTCGCAGCAAAAGAAGCTGATCAACTCAGCCCACTGACCAACTCGGCCCATACCATCTTCGCCCAATTGTTAACTACTATTTGACATATTAGGAAAGCTAATATTTTACAAAAGATAGCACCAAACCAATACAGCCATGTGCAGTTGCATTGGGCATACAGATGAGTAAAGTTTGAGAACATCCAGTTTGACTTAATTTAATTAAAGAATCTATCGAAGTTTCAAATTCTCAATCGGTCAGTATAATCTGCAGACTGCAAACCGCAGACTGCAGACCAAGTACAAAATGCAGAATAGGTATAAATTGCAGACTGAAATTGCAGACTAGGTATAAAATGCAGACTGTGAAAAAACGAATAAAACTACACATTACACCCGTTTTCAAAATTATGCGACTTACCAAAATATAATATAAGACTCAAATGTCAGTTTTATGTCACGAGAGTTGTGAGAACTGCTAAATATAGCAAATGTAAGCAAAATTAAGACATTTTAAACCGTATTTAATATACCTAACGAGTAAAGAAGAATATTGAACTAAAATGAGCCAGATACACAAACTAAAAGAAACAACAAACCATGTCACAAAAATAAATTTGTGTAGTGAATGACTTTTATAAGTTTGAGAAAGAGCAATTTATCCTCGACAAATGTGTACTAAACCCGCTTACGCCTGACTATAGCTGTATAGCAGTAATATTATGATTTTGTTGTGCTTAAATTTTGCAATAATTTTCACTAAAATATTTTGAAAATTGCTCTAAACCTTTTTATATGAAGCATACAAAGCTTATATACATTAACATGCATCGACAATGAACCGCAAACTCGAAGTTGTAAATAATTTGAACTTCGTGACAGTATGAAATATTAAAATATATGTTTTTTCACAGTCTGCATTTTATACCAAGTCTGCAATTTCAGTCTGCAATTTATACCTATTCTGCATTTTGTACTTGGTCTGCAGTCTGCGGTTTGCAGTCTGCAGATTATACTGACCGAATTCTCAATCTGTCCGTTTTGATACTAAATTACTGATCATTCAAATCTCTCTCAAAATTTGCAAAGATAGAACGCAGTCATGGTTCCTAGCTTGTTTAATGGCTAGATTAGTCAGTTTACAAGTGGGCGGAATTGGTCCTTGAACGGTGGGCCAAGTTGGTTAGTGCGCCAAGTTGACTGTAAAGCGTAGCAAACATATAATTACTGGGAACAGTTGCAATTATTCTAATATTGGCATAAATTTTTTAAAGGGCATTGTAATAGGACCCTTGTATTGTATACATTTAGCCAGGTATTGCTGTATGTTAAGGTGTCCCAGCTTGTAAAAACTCAGTAACTTTATTTAACCCACTGAACTGTAGCCAAGAAACTCCTTTTGACAATCATCTGGCATTATATGAAAATCAAAAGGGACTGGCTAAATTGAATGTTAATGGGTTAAAAACCTCTTTCTTTCTGTTTCAGTTGCCCACCAAGGGTATTTTTACCAGCGTTATGTCGAGTGTTTTTGGATGAAAGCGCACCAGAAAATGTCCTGGAAGTGACGGCAAGAGCCATAACTTATTACTTAGACGTTTCTGCTGAATGTACAAGGAGAATTGTGTCAGTTGATGGTGCTGTCAAAATGTTGTGTAATCGTTTGGTCGCGGTGGATTTAGAATCTCGTACAAGTAAAGATCTTGCTGAGCAATGTGTCAAGGTTTGTCAAGGGTGTTATTGTTGTGTAATTAAAGCTTGATGGAGTGCTTTTAGTTTGACTGTACCAAAACAGTGCAAAACATTTTTCCATTTTACTACTGGGTCCAATAAAAGATAGCCTGCTAATTAAAGTGTTGTCAGGGAGAAAAGTTTAGAATTGATTGAGCTTCAATAAAACAAAGTTGTAACCTCAATTGCATGGCCGAGATGGGGAATGAACCTTACTGTGTTATGGATTTCTAATGTTGTTATACCACCTGCTTATTTAGGTGCTTGAGTTGATGTGTACTCGTGAGACAAGTGCAATATTTGACGCTGGTGGTCTGCAGTGTACTCTGACTTTCATCAACGACTTTGGAAGTCACGTTCATAAAGATACGCTCCATTCCTCAATGTCCGTTGTCTCTCGCTTGTGCAGCAGAATGGAGCCACAAGATGAACAGCTCGAGACGTGCGTGCACTCTCTCTCAACATTACTCAAACATGATGATGCTTTTGTAAGTAGAGATATAATATTATTAGTAACACTGCCCATGTGCAGACGTTTAAAAATGTTTGCTGTATTTTAGGTAACTATATATTCTTCAAAACTAATGTCCGTAATATGCAAGAGGGTAGGGGTGCACCGGATTTGGAATTTTCTAATCCAGCCGGAACCGGATTTGGACAAAAATTCCGGCCGGAATTCCGGCAGGATTTGACATAAACCGGTAATGGGGACAATTGGGGATAAATCAGTATTCAAAATGACTGTTTATGTTTTTTACTATTTTTAGTTAGTGTCAGTTTAGATTTTTGATTGTGTTAAACCTTTTTTAAACATCTTTTTTTTTAATAACTTAATATTTTCTAATAATATAAGTGTTTTTTTAAACTTTAAAGCTGCCAAATTGATGGTTTATCCCATTCTTGGTGAACTTTTTAAGGTGAAAACAGAAATTTAAATCCGGCCGGATTTTCTCCAAATCTGGCCGGATGCCGGAAAATTTGTTAAATCCGGCCGGAATTCCGGCCGGATTTGAAATCCGGTGCACCCCTACAAGAGGGTAGAAAAAATAATCTCTACATATCTTGTAGGTATCTGACAGTGCTTTGAGATGCTTTGCCTCAGTTGCTGATCGTTTTACTCGGCGAGGTATGGATCCTGCGGCGTTGGCAAAACATGGCTTAATTGAAGAGTTACTAGAGAGATTAGCGAAAGCTGGCACGTCAGGAACAGACAGACCAAGTGTGAATACTGGCACTCCAGACCCCAAGAATGCAAGTCCTTCAGTTACGACTGTTATCAGTTTATTATCAACTTTATGTCGTGGTTCTCCTGTTATAACAGAGGTAAGAAAACTGCTTAGATCAACGCATTAATGACCTAAACTTTTTATTGACAATCTTAGTTTTTTAATGTAAAAAATTATTTTTCTTTGTTTTAATAGTTGCTATTGCATTCTCAACTTCCCGAAGCCATTGATAAAGCCTTACAAGGGGATGAAAGATGTATACTAGATACAATGAGACTTGTCAATCTGTTACTCGTCTTATTATTTGAAGGTCGTAAAGCTCTACCTAAAGCAGGACTGTTGTCTACACCAGGTTCAATTCCTGGTCTTAAGAGACTTGATTCTACTGCAGATAGATCACATAGACAGTTGATTGACTGTATCAGAAGTAAAGACACTGATGCATTGATTGATGCTATTGAAAATGGTGAGTGAATGAAAATTGGTTTCATTTATAATTAAAATATTCTTAAGGCAAGCGCATGGATATATTAAGCGCATGTTGGACACATTAAGCATGGAGCCATGGACACATTAAGCACATGGAAAAACCAGCAAAAACATTGACACTGTTCACATTTGAAGATTTCCATGTTTTCTTGAATGTTTCACCCACTCTTTGGAGACACGGTTGTAGAAAGTAATTTTGCTTTCCATAAAGCAAAAATGTTTTCCAACAAATTTAATGATTGACGGTTGAGGAAGCAACGCTTCCTGCAGTGAATGACCGATCATCTGAATCAGGCCGAGTTTTGCCTTATCGCTAGACAATCGGAATCGGTAGAATTATCTATATTTCCGATTCAGATTCTTGAGAAAATACGCACTTTAAAAGTTATACATTACGCACGTTTAACGTAACATGTTTCTGCGACGAAATTAATGCGTGAAGTGTGCCGTTTATGAACGGTTTTAACGAACTTTGGTTGCAGTAGCTGTTACATTGGAAATTATCATCAAAATTCCAAATGATGACGTCACATTTTCTCATTCAGCTGACATTATGACGTCATTATAAAATCGGTATCGGGTAGATTGTGGTATGATTGTGGCATGATTGTTGTATGATTGTGGCATGATTGTTGTATGATTGTGGCATGATTGTTGTATGATTGTGGCATGATTGTTGTATGATTGTGGCATGATTGTTGTATGATTGTGGCATGATTGTTGTATGATTGTGGCATGATTGTGGCACAATCGGTCAACCACTAGTTTCCTGTTTTGTCCACTTTAGTAAAATTTGGTTTCCCCAAGGCTTCGCGTGTTTTCTCTAGCGCTCGATTCTTTTCATTTCAACGAAGGGCATTTTCTTTAAACAACAATCACACACAAAACGCAAGTCCTATAAGCATGATAAAACATCCCTAATTTGAAGCTTGCGCTAATATTTCAGGAGGATTTGAAGTGAATTTCATGGACGATGTTGGACAGACCTTACTGAACTGGGCTTCCGCTTTTGGGACATTAGAAATGGTAACAACATTGTATATTTTCTCTCTTGTAAATGGCCATATTGTGTGAAAAAACCGTCACCAAGGGCCGGTTACTCAAAGGTGGATTAGCGCTAACCCTGGGTTAAAATTGAACCTGCTGTTTTAGTTTATGTATTTCTACACGTTTGTTTATTTCAAAACTTCAGAGAAGGAAACACCTACTGATCCAGACAAGATTTCTGAAGAAACATTTCCAAATAGGAAGTTTGCTTTGAATTTTAGGTTAACCTAAGGTTAAACTAACCCAGCTTTGAAAAATCGGGCCCATGCCTTTTTGTTGGCCAATTTTCTGGTAGGCGCGCTTTCTCGTCTTTCGCGTCACTTGGCCTGAAATCACACCTGTTTCATTACGTCATGACATTACGCCATGTTTAGGTGGAATACCTCTGTGAGAAAGGAGCTGACGTTAACCGAGGACAGCGCTCTTCATCTCTTCATTACGCAGCGTGTTTTGGACGACCACTTATAGCCAAGGTTGGTGACTGTTCCTAAAATAGTAAACCTCGTTTTAGACAGAATCATACCGAAACACTACAATCAAGGACAACATCACTTGGACCAACACATTAAATACAAAGAGTGTTGCACAATATCTAAGATAACCTCCGAAAATTAACGTTAATAGAATACATGATAGTGTTGTAAAAGCATTAAGAACAGCTAACCAAGATCGCGTGATGAAGTCTCATGCAATCTCACCCTCGTTTCATCCGGGTTTTAGCCTTGATGGAAGATTGTCTGTTTGTGGTTGTTGCACGCAGACAAATATCAGACCAACTTTCTTTTCTTTCAAGTTCGTCTAGACGGGTGATTTGTTTCTGGGCATTTCTATGTCCATGCCAAGTTGCCATTATTCTATACTGTTAAAGAATTAGAATTTTGAAATATACTTGCTCGCGAATGTCGTGACAAAATATTCATTGCTTCAGGTATTGTTGCGGAATGGCGCTGATCCTGAGCTACGGGATGAAGACGGGAAAACCCCGGCAGATAAAGCGAGAGAAAGACACGACGAGGGACATCGTGAAGTCCTGGAAATATTACAATCACCAAGTAAGAAGAGTTTATACAACTGTCGTTTTTCATGTGCGCGCACTAGATATCTGTAGAACTATTACTTCCTTAACTGTGTTTTATCCCGTTAACCCGCTCTGTCAACTTTCCCTGTGGGGGAAACCTGAGAAAACCCACGACTTTCGGTAGAGCATTGACTGACTCTTGTTCACGTGAGTGGGCAACAACAGAATCGAACCCACTAACTCCGAGGTGACAGGCGTTTGCTCTGACGTCACCCGAAGCCCAGGGGTCCAGTTCTCTCTTATTAGTCCAGTGTCGAACTACAAGAGGAAAGCTGAACTAAAATAATGTTGTGTTGTATAATTCTATCAGTTTTAAACTGTTCTCCCTGCAGGGTCAACCTGACGCTAAGAATAATCTATTGTTATATAGTTATTGTCAAAGTTCAATTTTTCTGTTTGCCGATTGGTTAAAACCGTGTCACGTGCTGGTCCACAAAACGTCATGTTCGGCAACCGGTCCACAATGAAACATTTATTGACAGGTCAATAATAAAATGGGTGCAATACGCATGCGTGTCAATCATGAAGTTCCAAAGTTCATTTTTAAACTTTTTACTAAACATTTACGGCGTTCCATTTATCCAGTTTTGGTTTCAAATTAAGTTCACTCCAATAACCGGTGAATTATTCATACTTTGACACTTATATACTATAAACACTTATTTACTGACACCTCGGAAAAGCAGTGTGTTTTGTGGCCCCGCGACCGCCGTTGTTGCCCTCGGCTTCGCCTCTGGCAACAACGGCGGTCTCGGGTCCACAAAACACACTGTTTCCCTCGGTCTCAGTAACTAAGTGATAATTGTTCCAGTGTTTCACAGAAAAACCCAGAAAAAGCCTGCAGTCTTTGGAGATGTATTATTATTATTATTATTCAATCTTCAGGTGACTGGATGACGCCGTTCAACAACAGCACAAACAAAACCGGAAGTAAGGGACCGGAAACCGGAAGTGAGAAATCTAAAGATGACGAAAAGAAAGAGGAAGATGAATCCACAGATACTACCGCTGATCCAGAGACTGCAGCTTCATATATCATTCATCTCCTCCCGTTATTTATAAAGTCCTACCAAACCTCCATGGTCAGTTCTGTGAAGAAGGCCATCCTTAGTTTGACAAGGAAAATGATATTTTACAGCACGGGAGAAAATCTTCAGGAGCTAGCTAAGATATCTGGTTTTGCCTCTGGTTTAGTAGAAGTTATCGCTGCCGTCTTTGAGAATGAGGTAAAGTTCGTCTTTGAGAATGAGGTAAAGTTCGTCATATCGTACAGCGTTCAAAGAAAGTTTCACAAAATAATGAATAGATCATTGAAGTGAAAATGTTGTTGGGGTGGTCTAATTCGTACATGACATCCAAAATGAAAAATTTTATTTTCCGCAGGAAATACTTTTCCCTGAGAGAAATGCGCAGAAATGTCAGATATTTTCGCAGATAATTTATGGCAGACCAAGGGATCCTGCAGTCGGAAAGTGTTTTTTTTTAATGGAGGACTCCCACTACCTGTTCCTTTCAATACCAACGACACCCCTTTCAACCCAATATTCACAATGTTTCATCACCATCCTGATGCATTACATTCAATATTTTTCTACTTCAGGACGATGATGATGGTCATATGTCAGCTCTAAATATCATCCAAGATCTTCTGGAGAAAGCGAATGACGTTTTCATTGAACATTTTGCCCGCCTGGGAGTGATTAGTAAAGTCTCCGAGATGGTTGGACCACTGTTGGAGGAGGAAGACGAGGAGGAGAATGGGGACCAAATTGACGGTGCTGTTGGTTGTCAAGGCGACAAGGTTTGTTGACGACAGATATGGAGATGTTAAAGATTTTGAACGTTGGCCAAAAGTTTATTAATCAGCTAGGAATATATTAGTTTTAAACAGTTCTATCCAGAGGCTCAATAAGAGCTATTACTTGTTGATCCAGTGTTCCTACAGGAGGGACAAGGAGTACTTGGGGTCGAACAGCAAGAACTCTTCTGTAGCCCAAAAATGGCGGATTTCGGCCTCGTGAGAAAGGCTGATAACTAACCACCGTTTCACCAACATTTTATTGTTCCTAGGACTCAGCTTCCTTGCAAGAAGATGCGAGTGAGATAATCCAAGGCCGTCCGTATCATTGGAAAGATTGGTGTCTAATACGCAGTCGAGACTGTCTCTACCTTTGGAATGAATCGTGTGCTCTGGAGTTATCTAATGGCAGTAATGGATGGTTTAGGTTTATATTGGATAATAAACTGGCGACCATGTACTCAAGTGGCAGTCCCGAAGGAGGCTCAGACTCGTCAGGTAATGCAGAGGTTTCTTTGATAATTCAACATATATGGAAATATTTTCATTTCTCTGATGAAATGTTCTCTAAGGCCAAAAAAATATGTGGGTTCCCTATTTCTTCTTGTAAAAACTTAGGTAGGGTAGGTCGGTTTTAACTTTTTTTTAAACTTTTTTTAATTTTCCTAACAACCACGCGTACGCCATTTTGTTTAGTCAGTGCTTCCACATCCAAAGATAAATGTCCCTAATATTGCCTCAAATTTCCATTTTCCACAAACGTTTTCCTCTAAGTGGAAACACTTACAAGCATGAACCAATAAAAAGTTTAGGGTCGGGATTTCGGCGTCCAAAAGCTAGGTAGGGTCGGGAAACCGGAAACCCACATATTTTTTTGGCCTAACTAGACTTGCCTTGATGAGGTCAGCTGCTGTCGTACGTCGACGCCAATACACTGTATTCCCTTAGATTTAGTACAGGGATTTTGTAGATGGAATTTCGAGAGTGTATTTTAAACATTTCTTAGACCTACCCACGAGCAGTTGCGAGAATCTTAATCCAAAACCAATCGATCAAAACTAATTCCAAATATTTTCTAAAAATCTTAGAAAGTCGTGGAGAATTTTTGGAAAAGTTACAGCGAGCCCGCGGTCAGGTGAAAGCAGATCTTGCCAGTCAACCGATCTTATCAAGTCTTAACTCAGCGAGTCTTCTGGTGGGTAACTGGTCATTTGCTTGCCAGAAAGATAACGAACTCTCAATTTACAACTCAGATGGACAACAGACTACAATACTCTGTGAAGACCTGCCTGGGTTTGTGTTTGAATCAAATCGAGGCACTAAACACATGTTTACAGCCGACACGTCCCTGGGCGCGGAGTTTGTCTCGGGCTGGAGCGGGAAACCTGGCAAAAAGTTCGTTTCAAAAGCTGAACAACTCAAGATGAAAGTGAAGACGACAGCGCGTGAAGTGCAGGAGAAATATTTCCAGACTGCTTTGTCAAGTCCCAGAGAGGTTGTCACCAAACTTCAAGAAATTGTACGCAATCTTTACGCATGCTGTGATGCGCATGAGAAAAACTTAGATGTAAGTTTATCGTGATGTATTTGATAACCCCCCGGAAAATGCCTATTTTACAGTCCTAGCCAGGGAGGTTACCCAACTACCAATATAGTCGATAATATTGACTCAACATACCAGTCTACCTAAAATTCCAGGCTACGTCTGCCTGCCTGCCTGCCTAACTTAATCTTGGGTGAATGTAGGATAGTTTGTATACCCATATTTCAACCTATTTTAACAATAAATACTGTATACCAAAAGTAAAATGGTCTAAATACCAATAGTACATTAACCAATAAGTCACAATACAATTTCAGTTGAATGGTGACAATGGCTGGGAGAAAGATATGGTTAAAGTGCTGAAGATGTTTCTGGAGTTGCTCAAGGATGATAAAACTGTGTCTTCCTATGAGTTACAGACAAGTGGAGTTGTACGAGCCCTGTTACATTGCTTGAGTCAGGTATGCAAATCTTGATTGTCTTAGAAACTAAACCTTTAATTGTTCTACCAGTTATTGCTTCAGTGCAACTGACTTCTCTTATTGCTTCAATGCAACTGACTGAGGTTACAATCAGACAACTACATGTTTCAGGAATCGATCCCTGAAAATGAATGACACATGCAATAGCCACTGTAATCACAGGCGGCCCAATCTCGCAAGGGTCAGTATAGACTTTATACAGTATAAATTTATAGTATATTAATTGTATATTATAGTAAAAATATGTCGTAAAATATAAATTTTAAAATGAAATTTACTTGCCTATTTGATAGTGTGTGTTCTCCTTTTATTCCTCTTTTGTTGGACTAATATTTTCCGAGACTTTGTACTCGATGTTACTAGTATACATGAAACATGATAAAGGCTAACCATTCCCGATCGTCGATACGACGGCACGGCACTTCGAATCGAAAATTTCCACACTCAAATCGCTTTATTCTCCAAAATAATTCGCCAGCATGTACAACAGATGCCGTTCTTCGAAAATACGGAGGTACTTCGGCGAGATGTACAAGTTTTGGACCATATTTTAACAATGGAAATCTAAACCCATTTTATATTGAACTTGCCCAGGCCGAAAATTACTACGGCGAACGTCTGCGCAACCAGGCCTCCTTACCGTTGAGATTTACAGGGGGGAAGGATGCCACTGATATATTAACGATCATATTTCGAATTAAAGTATCATATTCTACCATGCTTTCCAAAAATGAGCCGCTGTATATTTCTTCTTCCTTAAATTCCTACAATCTCCATCGTTTTGTTTTCTTTTCTTCGACAACATCTCGAGTTTTATACAGTATCAGATCGAAGGAGTTTTTATTTTGAATATCAAATTTCAAATAATGTAAACAGTCGCTATCACGGTTGCGATTGGCTGGCTGTTACCGGAAATATTTGCTTCCCCCCTGTACATCCAACGGTAAAGGAGGCCTGGTTACGCAGACGTTCGCCGTAGTAATTTTCGGCCTGGGCAAGTTCAACATAAAATGGGTTTAGATTTCCATTGTTAAAATATGGTCCAAAACTTGTACATCTCGCCGAAGTACCTCCGTATTTTCGAAGAACTGCATCTGTTGTACATGCTGGCGAATTATTTTGGAGAATAAAGCGATTTGAGTGTGGAAATTTTCGATTCGAAGTGCCGTGCCGTCGTATCGACGATCGGGAATGGTTAGCCTTTATCATGTTTCATGTATACTAGTAACATGGAGTACAAAGTCTCGGAAAATATTAGTGAAACAAAGGAGGAATAACAGGAGAACACACACTATCAAATAGGCAAGTAAATTTCATTTTAAAATTTATATTTTACGACATATTTTTACTATAATATACAATTAATATAATATACTATAAATTTATACTGTATAAAGTCTATACTGACCCTTGCGAGATTGGGCCGCCTGTGCTGTAATCTATACAATTTATCAGATTATATTGCTTTATACAGAGCTTTATTTGATCATAACTTAGCAGTAATGGTCAGAGCAGGGAGCACAACCCGGAGACAAAAAATTCCTGCAGACCAACGGAGTATTTTTGTGCTAAATTTAAATGTGCATAAACATATAGTGTTCTAGCTGACCATGGTTTTAAATTCAAGGAATAATGTCTGTCAACCATATGTTGTTGCGCTCATAGTGGGACATGGCCGTTAAGGTTTCCTTCAAATTTTCAATAGCAAATCTTCATTCAAACGAATTTCCTGCAGCTGTTTAACATTTCCTGCGAGCAGTGCTCGCGTGCTCGCCTATTTTAAAATTTTGAGAATTACGAAAATTCAGTTAAAACTTTGATGTTCTGTGTTTAGCATACAAGAGCACCAGATGATGAGAAGACCAAACATATTATGATCGAAAAAGCACATCAAAGAATTGAGTTGTTTAAATCAGCTTTTGGAGAATCAGTGAAATCATTCACTGAACATCTTGAGAGGTGAGAAATCATCAATAAACATGTGAAAATGACCCGTATGTACTTCTCAAGCGTTACGAGGATGACGTCAGAAATGTGGATACTTGCAGGAGCAAGAGAATTAGCCATTCCGAAGTTGATGAGTGGCCTGGGGACGAGTGTTAAAAAGTGCCCAAATGTTCCCACGCAATCTTAGGTTTGGTATCATGTGTGTGACACCAAGCACGAGATTGCGTGGGGAAATTCTTAAGTAATTACCACAAACAATCGCTATTGTCAAACACAACGCCTGGAAGCGTGGCATATAAATACGAGTAATCATGCTTTGAATAGGGATGACGGTGCCTATTTGCCAGAGGAATACATGCATCTCATTGGCAGGTGACGTCATCCCTTGGGTATTTAAGAAGCCACATTGCAACTTTAGATCACCCCTGATGAAGACACTAGACTGGAGTGTCGAAACGTTGGGTCTTGATTACAATTCGACTGGGCTTTGTATTCATTTATGTAAACCAGAGTAGCGAGCGAAAACATGATTACATGATTATTATTCAGCTCACCCCAATTGGAGCTTTTCAGTGACCGATTACATCCAGTATTACGCTCATGTTGCTTATACTTATGTAGCTTAGACTATTTATCTTTACAACAATTGTGATATTACTTTCTCTAAGTGTGTTTATCCTAACCCACCCTGCCAAAATTCCCTGTGGGAGGAAACACGAGTCCGTAGCAAGAATCAAAGCCACGACACAGAATAAGGTACACAGAAGGCCGACTTCTTCGTTTTTCCTATGATTTTCCTATGATTTTGGCGTAACTCGTGATTCGTCATCAAATGCTGACGCCATGGTCCTAGCCAGTGCGCGTTTGAGAGGCATTCACCCCCCTGATAATATTCAAAATGGTGGACGTCGAGGGGGGGAATGCCTCTCAAACGCGCACTGGCTAGGACCATGGCGTCAGCATTATGATGATGAATCATGGCGTGGCAGTGGTTACTCGAGTCGACCTTCTGTGTACCTTATTCTGTGGCCACGATCTCAGAGGTGAAAGACGCTTGATCTGACGCCTGCGCCACTGAAGCCTCAAACACAGAGACTACTACATATAATCAAAATAATTCCATCACTTTCTCATTCTGATAACTACAATATATTCCATCATTCAATATATTCCATCATTTTCTCACTCTGATAACTACAGGTAGACCATCATCTGCTGCACGATAGTGCTCAGTGAAACCCACTATATTATTTCTTTTTATTTAATAGTTTTGAAGCGATTTCTCCGGCGGTGTTTCTAATCCGTAAACTGACTGCTGTGTTAGAAATGTCGGAAAGATTGCCAGTGTATTCATTTGAAAGCATGACCAGTGGTTTGCAGATCCTTACTCGTCGCCTTCGTTTCCGTCTGGAGCGAGCTCCTGGAGAGAGCGCCTTGATTGACAGATCAGGAAGAACGCTCAGGATTGAGCCACTCACGACAGTGGAGGCTTTGAAAAGCTACCTTGGCAGAATGGTAAGTGCCGTAGTTGTCGAGGCATAAACTATAGCGTGATAATCACGAAGCATTTCTGACTGCAATAGACAATTCCATTATAGGCTAATTTTGAAACTAGGCAAGGAGATGCAAATAAATCACCACAGCTAGAAAGAGCATACTAAAATGAGTAAAATTGCAAAGTTTGGTTGCGAAATGTTGTAAATTGCGGAAAATATAGCCTTGCAAATTTTGTATACTTTTGTATTGCGTGCGGAAATTGCTACCATTTTCAACACAATTGTGGTCGAAGGCCCTTCGTTGGGAAGGTAGTTGGCCTTCCAGGAAGCGCCTTCGCTCGAAACGTCGAAGTTCTCCTTGTATTTTTCAGGTAGTTGTATTCCTATCAATCTGAATCTTTCTTATATACGTTACAACTACATGCTCGATTAAAAACTGATCAGAAGCCAGGATTTCTCTCTGAATACTTTTATAAATAAACATCGCTTTATTCCGAGATTGGTCTTTAGAGAATACAGGTAGCCTGCTCCGCAGGCCTCTATGGGTTTTAGCCTGCGAATAGGTATTGAAAAAAATTCTGGAGATTTTTCCGACGACCCGATTCCCAGGGTGAGATGCCTGCGGAGGAGACTAGAATACAGGTAGGCTCTGTGATGTCTTAATTTCTGTTTTGTTTCATTGTCTAGGTTGCCAAGCAATGGTTTGATTTTGATCGAAATACATTTTCATTCATCAAGAAAGTGAAAAGTTCTGCTCAGGTTTTCACGTATACTTCTGATTTCGACGATAATGGTATTCTCTACTGGATAGGCACGAACGGAAGGTACTATATAGTCTTGTTCCAACACTCAACGATGTGTAAACGATGTTTACAACATGAAGAATGTAGGATTAAATTTTTTGAATTACTTGTGTTGTCGTGGTCATCAAGCTTGCCTTTCAAGCTGGGAGACCTGGGTTCAATCCTTGCTCGGACCTCTACTCAAGCTCTTAAAATAATTGAGGAGAAAGAGCTACCATTGTTAGACTTTCGCGTCTTCTTGGATAAGGACGTTATATCGTAGGTACCTCGGATCCCCTATCAATTGACCATTTGCGTAATAGACTAAATTTTGATCTAGACAAGTCTATACAATAATTTCATCACAGCTTGAAAGAGCATCACAAAATTAGTAATGTTCCAAAGTTTCGTTGCGAAATGTTGTAAAATGCCGAAAATATAGCCTTGCGAAGCTTGCAATTTACAGTCATTTTAGATTACAAACGGGAAATTGACAGCCCGATACGCTTTGAGGCTGTCAATTTCCCGTTTGTAATCTAAAATGACTGAAAATTGCAAACTTCGCAAGACTATATTTTCCGCATTTTACAACATTTCGCGACGAAACTTTGGAATATTACTAATTTTGTGATGCTCTTCCAAGCTGTTATGAAATTTTTGTTGAGATCAAAATTTAGTCTATTACGCAAGTGGTCAATTGAGCAATAGCCTGTTGGGAAATCCGCTGACCAATGAGTGAGAAACTCAATAAACTCAATAAACTCAATAAACGTGTAATTGAAAAAACTGGAACCTGTTATTTTGCAGGACGACAAATGATTGGGTGAATCCAGCTTCTGTTGGCTTGGTCGTTGTGAGTTCATCTGAGGGACGCGCATTGCCTTATGGGAAGCTAGAAGATGTCGTCAGCAGAGATGGTGCTGCACTCAACTGCCATACGAATGACGATAAGTATGTGATCGCTCAGTGAAGAAATGAAACTGAACTATAATTAACTTATGTTTTCTGGACAGCGCTATACCTCTACCAGTGGCGAAGCAACAGGCCATGCCGTGTAAACGTTTAAGGATTTGAATTATCCAAACCTTTAGAAATGTATCGTCTTTAACCTATCTAGATGCAGGTTTATTAGCATAGCATGACCAGTTTTCCATGGCTAGTTTCACCACTTCCTCTACCAGTTGCGTCTAAATTATTCTTCATTTTCTTCCAGGAGTGCTTGGTTTACAATCGATTTAGGATTATTTGTGATTCCCAAATCCTACACACTACGTCACGCACGGGGTTATGGAAGGTATGTTAAGTCTGGTTTAGACTATCAAAGTTTCTGGCATCACAGTAGGAATTTTACATACTGGGTAAATTGTACGTTTTGAAGGATTTGTAAGAAATGTTTGAGGGTTGCATTCTCTTCATTTCACATTTTCCCTGCATGTTTTCATTTCTTGTTTTCATATTTTCATTTTTGGTGTCTGCATTGCATTCTCTTGTTATGTTTCTCCTGTGAGACTTCTCGACTACTTTCTGTGTCTTATTTTATTCATTGTTGCTTTAGATCGGCATTGCGAAACTGGCTATTGGAGCTTTCCAAAGACAACAAAACTTGGCTAACATTGAAAACTCACACTAACGATACGTCACTCAGTGAACCAGGGTAAAAATAAATAAACTCTTGAAAGAGAATGTATTTGTAATATGATATGTCAATGACTTCAAATATTATATAATTTTTTTCAAATGTTGTTTTGCCGTACAGATCAACTGCAACGTGGCATCTAGAGGCGCCAGAAGACAGTGAAGGATGGAGATATATTCGTATTCATCAGAATGGGAAGAATGCAAGCAATCAAACCCACTATCTCTCATTGTCTGGCTTGGAGTTGTATGGTACAGTTGTGAGTCCTGTGGAAGAAGCTCTAGGTAACGATTATTCATGTTGTCGATCACTTTTCCACCTTGGCTAATTCACTAAGGCATAGTCGAGGCCAGAGAAGTCGTATATTTTTTCCACCTTGGCTAATTCATTATAGTCAAGGTCAGAAGAGAAGTCGTATATTTGCTCGTCATTGATACGTCAGAAAGGAGATACATGTATTAGGAGATGCATGTATATATTTGATCTTTTTGTCTCCTATAAGTCGGCCAACATTTTCAAAGTTGAGTAGTTGACCACAATCTGCTATCGTAGTCAAATTAGCCTTTCTCATGGCCGATTTTCCCGCCATTTTTGGGGTACTGCCTCTCTCATGTTTGAAAGTCTCCGGCACCACGAAATACAACATTTTAGTATTGTAGTTGTTTGTGCAATGGTAAATTTACAGTTATAACTTTTAAAAGTCGCTTTTCACGTTGTTTGAATTATCTGGAGTCTTTCACGAGGGCAGACAGTATTTGGCGTTCTTGAGAAAGGCAAACTTTTAACGATTGTTTATTTCCAGGGAAACCCATGCGTGAACATGAATCAGCAGTGAAGCGACAGAGAAGAATGAAAACTTTGTTGAAACATTTTGCTGGCAAAGCCGCGCGAGGACTGGAAGGAAAATGGAAAGAAGGAGAAGCCCTGGACCCGAGTCTGGAAGCCGCCTTGGCGAGGGAGTTGTCTGACGGTGAGGGATGTTATAAAATATCTTAGCTGACAATTTGGAAGTGAGACAATTTGGAAGTGTACATCCAAAGACCGTCTCTGAAGAATACACCACTACATCTGACTCGTCCCCAGTCGTCTCTGTGAGCACGTGCGATAAACATATGTATACGGTACATTATTTAGTAAAATATTGATTGTTAACTTTTCAGATTGGGTGGAGGTGGCGTGGGCTGAAGGTCTTCCAGCAGCATTACGTAATGCAGCCATGAACATGAGAGCTGGCATGAAAGACTTGGCTGGAGAACCAAGCAGTCTATATTCTCAGGTAGCTTCCTGTAAATATAGGTTTAAAAACCCTGGCGAAGGCAGCTCCGTTGGAGTTTCTATTAAAGTTGAATCAAACACAGTGTCCGCTGGGACGTTGTCAAGTAATGTCAAAAACCTCGAGAAAGCTTCAGCCGCTGTCGACGCTCAGAGTAAGGGTGATGAAGGAAAATCAAGTACTTTTCAGGATCCTGCGGGTACATCGAGTACAGAAAGCGCGGGAAAACAGGAACCATTAGGAACAACGGATGGTGGTAGCGATGAACATTCAGAGACACAGGGTGTTACTGAAGATCCTGCTGTTCCCACAAGGACACAAGTTGATACTAGTGGACAGACTGAAGATCCTACAAAACTCTCAGTTACAACAAAGACTGCAGAAGAAATTACAAACACATCACAGACTGCAGGCGACACAGCTGGTTCTTCAGCTACATCTAAGGACACTGTTGGTGGTACTTCAGGAACATCTGAGGATACAAGCAGTCTGTCATTCCTACAAACCAGTAAACCTTCAGGTTTTGGTGGACTTGTGACATTCTTGGAGTCAGTCAGGGATAATGTTAGGGACAACAGTAGTAATACCACAGATCCTGGCTCAAGTGATGTGACCGTCACTTCAACATCGGAGACTGGCGCCAAGTCTAGTGCCCAGGATCAAACTAAAACGATGATGTCAGATGATGAGAAAAGTTCCGAAGTTGTGACGTCACCAGACGATAAACAGTCTGGCATGATTTATACCATGACAAGGTAGGGATTTTGTTAGACTGGTTTCCAGTGTAGACATTAGGGTGGGAGTTTTATTAACACAATGTTTGATCCAGTGGCCCTGCCGGTATGGTGCGGCTCTCTGAATCAGACGACTATAGAAGCTAAGCTTTTAGTATTGCAGCCCGCTTGCTCAATTGAATACTAAAATTTAACTTAACTAACTTTATTTAATAAACTGGATAGTTCTGTCAGTTCTTAACTGAGGCCTAGCGAGTGTCATCACGTGTAGGTCCAGTATTACAGCAGAAAACCCAAACTGGAAGTACTCTGTATGACCCAAATTATAATCAGCCAACTGCATATATATTGCTTAAACTTTGAGGCACTGTAGCAGTAACATTATTTGATAATTCAGTCCCAGTAGTGGTAAAACATCTGGACTAAGTATGGCTAGCACGACGAGTACAGCAAGCAGTAATCCTACATCAGACAGCGAGGTGGAGAATATTCCCATGGACTGCACGTTATTGGCTGAACTTGAAGACGAGGCTGATGACCTGCCTGACCCGGATGAAGACGAGGACGACGACGATGATGATGACGACGATGAGGATAATGAGGAGAATGAAGATGAATTTGAAGAGGTATGTAGGGATATTTAGGGATAATGTGAAGGATATGTAGGGATCTTTAGAGATAATTTGATAAGGTATGTGTGGTATTTATGGATAACTGAGAATGAATTTGAGCGGGTATTTAGGAAATTTCCGTCGTGAAGGTAAGCCCTATTCTGTGGCTGTTATTGTTAGAGTTTACGAGAGTAGAGATTGAGAGCGAGAAACTACCCATATTTATGAAAGGAATATTGCAAAAAAGCAACGACAGGCCCTCCAGCAGGAATTGAACCAGTAGCCTTGCGATTAGGGTGAACAAATTTATATATCTGTAAATATGAACATTTTAAAGACTTGATATCTTTTAATATCGATGTGATTGCAGATGGATGAGAGTGAACTTCACAACACAAACATTCGTAGTCGACGTTCATGGGACGATGATTTCTGTCTGAAGCGACAATTTACAGCTCTGATTCCCGCCTTTGATCCACGACCTGGCCGAAGTAATGTTCAACAGATACAGGATATAGAGGTGCCACCTGAAGGTGAGTGCTGCAATATGATTGGATGAATGGGAGATCGCTTGCGATCTGATTGGATGAATAAGAAATGTCTTGCCTGATGATTGGCTGAATATGGGAAGTCTTGTCGTCTGATTGACTTATTAGTGAGGTTCAGATTTGACTTCCACTACCGCTACCATTAAGGGACCATTAACCAATCAGATGCGTTTGATATATCAGATTAACCAATCAGATGCGTTTGATATATCCGATTAACCAATCAGATGTGTTTGATATATCCGATTAACCAATGAGATGTCTTTGATATATCCGATTAACCAATCAGATGCGTTTGATATATCCGATTAACCAATCAGATGTCTTTGATATATCCGATTAACCAATCAGATGTCTTTGATATATCCGATTAACCAATCAGATGTCTTTGATATATCCGATTAACCAATCAGATGACTACTAAGCCAGTGAGAGGTAGTAGTAGTCAAATCTGAAACTTCCTAGGATGAACTGCTTTGCAAATTGCAATACTGACAATTTGTATTTTGAAATATTTTCAGCTGAGTCAGGCTCACCGCCTACTTCACCAGATGGTCAAGCCTACTGTAATCCAGAGATTGAGTTGGTCTTAAAATCAACAGCACCACCAGGGGTATGTTCTTGTTTTTCTCTATACACACTGAGGCTGAGAGTTTACTCTCGTTGCCAGTGCACATTTTCAGATAACTCCGCATACCTTTCTAATAATGTAAGCATAGAATAGAACAAAGGTAATCAAGAATTTCAATTATATATGTGAGTGAATTGATAACTCACATGCATAGTTACCACTGTTCTGATAATGCAAGTATACAATGGAACAAAGGTAACCAAACATTTAAATTATTCTCTATCTAGATGCCTGAAGTGACTGTTCCTCTAGATGATCCGAAATCCACCATATTCTCCTACGTTCATAAGCTGGCTTTGCTGTCTGGAAAATTAAAGACTGAAAGACTTCGACGAATATGGGAACCAACGTATACGTAAGTACAACATGTTTCTTGCTCAAATGATGCGTCGTTCGTGAAGAACGCAATAAGAATGTACATTTAGAGAGAGAGCGGCAAGATTGACTATAGCCTGGGTTGGGGCGCGGGCAGCGAAAATTAGGGAGGCTGGCAGCTATGCAGGCTAGGTTGACTACAGTATTATCATGTATCGTGAGGTGTATTCAAAGTTGACATGAATGATTTATGTGTTTCAGGGTGGTGTACAACAGTGTTGGTAACGTTACTGAAGCCAGGAAATCCAGTGGAAGTGGCGAAGAAAATTTGGATGAAAATGTAAGAAAATGTCTTATTTTATTACTGGTACTTGTTAAAGCAAGTCGTGTTGTTCTCGCACTCATGAAACACTCGTCTCACATGCAACCGAGGAGAATTTCACACAACACTGAAAGCTGCGGTAGTTGAATCCCTTTCAATCCCCAGCTTTCTGTTGTTATTGTCACTACCTACACAGACTGTTCAAGTTCAACTGCGCATGACACATGCACTAACCACTAACATGAAAACCTCGTCGCATCAACTCATCTTTCCTCTGTTATTATTATTCAGTTCACTCCCCATTGAGGCTTTTCAGTGACTGAGGACGCTTTCCATAACATGGCCAGACCGATCAAATTGTTGAACGCAAAACGTTTGAGCTTTGCACCTACAGTATCTAACCGGAAAATTTGGATCAAATTAGAATGAGGTCGATTTTCGCTAGATATTTGAGAAATATAGACCAGATCTTTCCACTAATACAAAGACATAAATTTTGGTCTGATCGATCTGGCCATTTAATGGAAAGCGCCCTGATTACATCAAGTATTACGCTTACTTATGTTACTTAGCCTAGACTAATTATCTTTACAACAATTGTGATATTACTTTCCTAACTATCTTTATGTTAACCCACCCTGTCAACCTTTTCCTTGTGGGAAGAAACTGGAGAGAAAACCCACGACTTTCGGCAGAGCTTTCCATAGCGAGAATCCCACGCACTCAGAGGTGAAAGCCGCTCTGACGACTGCTCCATTTTTTCTCTAGAAACGTTGGAGCGTGAAGTATGTCGTCAGTCATCTTGGGACAGACAGTCTACCCAAGTGTGACCTCATCAACTACCTTCAAGATCATGCTGACTCGGCGTTCTTAAGAAAATGGAAACTTACTGGAAGTACAAAGAGTATTAGAAAGAACAGAAATTGTTCTCAGCTTGTCTCTGCTTACAAGGTACCCTCTCTAAAACTGTCTTTGAGTTGCACAATAACCTCAAGATACGCCGATTCTTTCGAATTTGTCTACACTAATTTTACTTATATTGGATTGCTTTATCAGTCCAGTTGTTCCAAGCTGGATTAGCGCTAACTCTGGATTACTAACTCTGGATTCAAATTTAATCTGCAGTCTAGGTTTATCTATCTCTGCACGTCTGTTTCAAAACTTTAGAAAATAAAACTTCTGATGTCCACACAAGATTTCTAGAAAAATATTTCCATATTTATAAACAAGCTGTTTGGAGAATTGCTTTGACGTTAACCTAGGGACGTTTGAGGTTAACCTAGGGACGTTTGACGCTAACCTAGGGACGTTTGACGTTAACCGATGGTTAAGCTAACCTGCTTTTGAACAACCGGCCCTGAACTGTTCTCTCTCTCCCTATTGTTTTTCCTCCAACAATATACATGAATTCTATTCACGCTATCTTAGGAATTCTGCAAGTTGTATTCTCCTGTTCTGTCCAAACGCGGAAGTGCTTCAACATCCGAGCAAACATCCCTGGTCAGAAAATCAAGTTCATCTCAGAGTAGTGTGGTCAGCGGTCATACGAGCTTGGATTCCGTCGAGGACATCTTGAAACTGGTCAGACTTCTCTACTCGATATCAACAACGTCCATGGAGGAATTCGGTGAAAATGGTGCGTTTGGTTTTATTTCTGTACCATCTCGTTAAATGGTTTGACTGTTTTCAAATGCACAGGGGATTACAGTATTGATATTTCTGTAAATTTCTTTGTAGCTGACGAGAATTACGGATTTATTATTCCTTCGGAAGAATTTAGCAGCAAGAAGATCACAACAAAACTCATCCAACAGATCAAGGTAGGCGATCTTGAATCGCGAAACAGTTTCAATACAACATGTATTGATCAGAATTTGATGCACTTCCCAGTCTCGTACCCAGGCGCTTAAAAGGAACGCACAAGCAACCCACATACCCTTGGGAGCTGTTGACGCGCGAGAAGAAATCGCGCTTAGCTGTTATATACAGATCAGTGGCTGAGTGGTGATTTCCATTTCTTTGCTTTCTCCTTAGGATCCATTGATGTCAAGTAGTGGTTCTCTCCCCAGCTGGTGCGAGAATGTGATGAGTTTATATCCCATGTTATTCCCATTTGATACCAGACAGATGTATTTTAATAGCACTGCATTTGGCTGTGCGAGGTAGGTAATGTGAAAACTACAGGTACAAGAAAGCTGTAGGTTTCATTACAAATACAGGCCCGTTTCCACTTGCCAGTTTTGCTACGATTTCTAGTGCGATTTTCTTCGGAGTATATGTCCCCTCATCTGAACATTCATAACTCATCCACTCGTTCACATCCATCAGACGAAGAAAATCGCACCTGTTGATTTCAACAGACTTGCTGCAAGTTGTTCTATCAGACCTGTTATCTCTTGTTAGTAACAGGTTTGTAGCGGGTTGTTTCAACAAGTCGCTACGGCTCTGTTGTCAACAGCTTGCGACAAACCTGTTCCCGCAAGCCTGTTACCGCCTGACGAGACCAACAGACCTGTCGCGACTTGTTGACAACTTGCCGCAAGCCGGTAAAATCAACAGCTTGCGACAGACCTGTGAGATTTCTGGCTGTGTACGACTACAAAAACTCGTCATCTTCACTCACGCTCATATTATGTTGTGACGATGATTAGCAAACAGGCAGTGATACGAGCAACTTGCTCTTATTATGACGTCATGGGGTTGATCTTGGTCGTAATGATCTTGGTAGTAATTGTTACTTCTTATATTTCAGAACGATCATCTGGCTGCAGACTTCCCGTGATGCAGCGGTGGAGCGGTCAAGAACACCAAGTTCTCGACGAGATGATCAACACGAGTTTTCTATTGGTCGCTTGAAACACGAGAGAATACGTATCTCTAGAGATGACGGGGTAGGGAAATTGATTGTGATCATTATTTTCTTCGTCAAGCACCAAGTTTGTCCAAACTAAGCCGTCGTGTCGTATGAAGATAGTTGACTCAGTCTGCCTAGGGGGAGGAGGTCAGGAGGAGGAGGCGTTCACTCAGGCCTCATGTAAACAGCGAGACAATACTATGACCCAACGAAATCGTTCCACTCTAGCTTCTTCCTGATGTAAAACTGGCCTAGTCCTCCATGGAACTAGATGTATCCTGAATGTGTTGTAGGAAATTGCTCCCAGTACTTATGTTTCATTTCTGTTTTAGCTTCTTGGTTCAGCCATCAGAGTACTTAATTTCCACAGCGAAAGAAAAGCGATACTTGAAGTAAGTTACTTTACCGAAGACATTTCATGAATTATTTTCTTCAAAGCGTTTACAAAGTTACTGACCCCAGAATGAAGCGTAACAACTTTCATAACATTACCAACTGACCAGATTTGTCAAGCAAAACCTGTGCTGAAGTGCATAGGACTATTAATGTGTGTTTCTTTTTCAGTTTGAGTTCGAGGGTGAAGAAGGCACTGGTCTCGGTCCTACACTGGAGTTCTATTCTCTGGTTGCTGCCGCGCTTCAAGAAAAGAGTCTGGGAATATTTCTTTGTGATGACGACACACATGATCACGTCGAACAGGAGGTAAACTGTTAAACAACAGAGTGCTGTCACGTGACGCCATCGTGGAGCGCCCAATCATTGCACCGGGTTTTAAAAAATCACGTGCACCAAAAATTAACCCAGGTACTTCTTCTTATATTTCAGGTTGATATAGGTCATGGTATACGAGCTCCGGGATACTACATCCAGAGAGCCGGAGGTTTATTCCCGGCACCTTTACCCCAAGATGGCAGCAAGATAGAACGTGTTTGTAAACTGTTCACATTTCTGGGAATTTTCCTTGCGAAATCTCTTCAAGACAATCGTCTGGTTGATCTACCACTCTCACGATCTTTCCTCAAGTTATTATGTAATGGTGGCGGTGATAATAGTATGGTACCCACTCTCCCGACTACACACGGCCATGCAAGTCATCTCTCGCTCGCCGAAGGATTGGAGGACTCTTGTAGTTATGAAGAAGAACGAGAATCTGTAAGGAATTTGACCACCAATGAACTGGATAGATTTAGAAAGGTATGGACACTTTTTTGCCTGGCTGTTGTAGATCAGTTAAGGATTAGTCGCCAAAGGCGAAATTCAATGGACACTCCAATAGCTAGCTACTCCTAATTGTAAAGGATGGCCCTTGTTCCTCTTAGAGGAAAAGTTTAGACAGAATTGATAAAGCTATCCAGAATAGATAAAGTTAGTTTTCCTCCTGTAGTAACACTGGA